GGGCTCTATCTTTCCCTGAATCTGAGCTGCTTTGTGATTCATGGCAGCGAGGCACAGTAACACCTCTGGAGTGAATCTCACTTCGCTCTGACTATTGATGTTGCTCCTCTCTCGAGAAGGCACGCTTACTTTCACAGATTAGAGGTTGTTTCCCTCGAGGCCTTGACTTCAGCCCCAGCTGCCCTGAATATTTTTGGACATCGTGTTATAAATTGTTTTCTCTGCAGCGTACACCTGTCACCATGTTTTGTAGCACTCAGTCTCAAAAACGCTCGCCTCAGAGGGCGTTCAAGGGTGAGAGAAATAACATGCTGTATCAAATAATTGATGTTTTGAGTGTTTACCTGCTGATGAACTCTGAAGCATAAGACTCAGTTCTAAACCTAATGTTCATCTAAAAAGTTTGCTGTGTCTTACTTACAACTTCCACATAGTTCTTCAAGCACCACATAAATAAATCATAAAGTCTGTCCTGTGTAAATGTGTCTCTGAGTCCTGACTGTCTACAATGAGGGAGAAGCTCGAGTCCCGCTGGCTGTGTTGTTGTCAGAGCCGTGTTTACATGGACGGGACGGCCGGCTCCTCCCCTTGTGTATAAAAGCTGTTTTAGTCAAGAACTAGAGAGAAGAAGAAGAACATACTCACTGATTATTTGGATGTTAGTAAGAGTTTTTAGATCACGCTCATTCTGTGTCAGTTTACGAGCTAACTAAAGAGCGCTAACATTAGCATGCTAACACAACAATGCAGGACACAGGCGATTGCAGCTCGCGCAAAGGACAAGTTACTCCACCACTTAATGCGCTTAATGGTGCTTAATTAGTGCGTTCTCATCGCGAGTGGAGGGGGGTTGGAGGTGTGACTAAACAGCAGTTTGTTTTGGTTTCATGTTGGTGCTCAAGGGCGACATCTACTGGATCAAAAGTCGCACTTTCTTCCTTTAACTTATTTTTTAAATCTTTACCCTGTCACTATTTTAACCATGTTTATTTTATTCCTTTTGGTGTACATTAGTCTCTACTTCTAAATCCATTTCTGTCTCTATTCAATGTTTCTTCTTTCTTTTTTCCAGCCGCTGTAAAGCATATTTGAATTGCGTTTGATTTTAGTTTACAGTGACTCTGCTCCTTTAAAAATCAGCTAACGCCACATAATTAACTTGCCTTTATTGATTAGCCTCTCAGCAGAGACATTACGGAGGCAGACAGCAAACATCCTGGGAGTTTCACCTGACAAACAGCCCTCTGTTCTGCAGATGTTCCACTTATTGAAGTTTCTGAATTATGCATGTTGGTGTTGGAGTGGAGCTGCACGTGTACAGTGTAAGCTGGAGATGGTCTCACAGGCGTTATGGAAATGTCGGGCTTTCACCAGCTACCTCTTCAGAATGCTGATTTACAGTGAGAACGTGCTCAGGTGATAAATAGATGTAGATCCCGGTGGAGGATGACGGTCCAGCCGGGAAAACAGAGAAAGAAAATGTTATATTATTAAAACCATAAATTATGCTCAAAGAACTGATAACTACAGTGGCTGGAAAGTTCAAAGCAAAATTACAAATTCTAAAATCACAAAATTTTAGACAAATTTACATCTTGATTTTTTTGTTTTACATTTTTTAAATGTACAATAAATAGTTAAATTTGAATCATTTACTTGTCTCTCCTGATTTAACATTTTAAGTGCAAATTATGTCCACAAAATTAAATAATTGTTTTGTTAAATAAGAACAAAATTCTCAGTCTGTTCATCTCACTCCAGTCTTTTTATCTCTTCACAAAGGAGTCAAGCCCACAAACGGACCAACACTGTGATCAAAGTAATCAAACTTAAGTGGACCCATGTACACGTGTACGATTGAACAACTGCAGGAACTTTTAGAAATGCAACTTGTTCAGAATTTATTGGGCATGCAACCACTTCAGCAAGAAAAAAGAAAAAAGCATATTTGCTATTAAAAGATATTTAAAAAACGATGCTTGGCGGCCATGAATCAATATAATATTGTCGCCCAAAAAGATTTTTAAAGGTTTCTTACAGCTCTGTGTTGAATGCTTGATTCTGATTGGCCAATTAGGCAAAGCAAATGTCTGTTGTTAAAGATACAATATGTAGATTCCGCCGCCAGGGGGCTCTCAATCAATACTACAATGACATAAGATGACGTGAGGCTAGAGGGGAATCACGGGAGTTCTGCTCCACGAGCAGAAACGTGCTCAAACTAGGATCAATATTGGAGATGCTTTTGAAAAATGGAGAGAGGTTAGAACACAGAAAGGTTTACAGACCCATGCAGAGCTGGATAAACACTGAAGCTTCAGAGTCCACCACATGGTGACCTGAGTGAGCATGGACTCTAGAGAGGAGGGGGGGAGACAGCTCTCTACAGTGTTTAGAATTTGGACTGCAGTACCCGTTTTAAACACTTTTTTTGGGGCCTTTTCGCTTCATTGGATAGGACAGCTGAAGAGAGACAGGAAAGGTTGGGAGGAGGGAGAGTGGGGGATGACATCAAAGGGCAGCAAAGTGTAGCAGAGGTCAGACTCGAACCCCAAGCCACTGCAACGAGGGCCATGGCTTCTGTACATGCAGCACGCAACATAACCACTAGGCTACAGACGCTCTGATAATGCTCCTTTAAATGCATTATCGGCACCAGTAGTATAGGGGTTAGTACTCGTGCCCCATGTATGGAGGCTTTGGTTCTCTGGACGGGTGGCCCGGGTTCGAGTCCAGCCTGTGGCTCCTTTCTGCATGTCATTCCCTCTCTCTCTCTCTCTCTCTCTCTCTCTCTCTTCCTGATTTTAGACTCTATCCACTGTCCTGTCTCTACAATAAAGGTATAAAAAGGCCCCAAAATAAAACTTAAAAAAGATCAAGGTGTCATTAATGAGAAAAACGTCATCGATTAATCATTATATTTTAGAGCTTTCCATTGATAATGAAAGTTTCATAAGGCTTAAAACACATCCCCCCCATATCGACGTAAAATAGTAATATTGCACATCTTTATCAAAGAACTGCTTGAGTCGTATTCTGACAGGAACTTTCTCCATGAGGTATTCACTCAGACAGTTAGCACTTGTGATGTTCAGAGAGAAGTCGTCCGGGGTCACAAATGTCTCCACACTCACCAGACTCACAGTGATTTGTTGCAACCGCTGTCAGGTTGTGTTATAAGAAGAGCTTCCCTGAAATAAAAATGTAAAAAAAATAAAACAGCACAATTATTACATCACATCTCAGGAAATGGAAGAAAAAAGAAAATAGCGTGCTGCAATGAACAACTCAACTGTATGTTTACTCATCTTTATTCTCTTGAGGACACGCTGAATGGGCGACACCACAGGAAGTCCGAGAGCGGGAAACGAGCAGCTCTCCATGAGTCACTTCCAAACCGTGGTGGATTAATATTTCCTGCTCTATAATCAATTTGTCGGTGTAACAGTGACTCAGTGCTTAGATGTCCCGAGGATACGCTGGCTTCACGAATGTGTTTGTGTGGAAAGAATGAATTCACTTTGCAGCTTCTCTCTTTGGCATCCTGTAATAACAGTGAAAGGAACTGTGAGTACATCCTGAAAGTCAAGTATTGAGACACCAGGGAACTGATTTACTGATGTAAAGACGAGATGGACTCTGTTTTCATAGACGTTTTCACATATGCACTCCTGAAAATATCTAAAGAAAAGGGGGGGGGGGGGGGTTAAGTCCGAGTACACATGCAGCTCCTCCTGGAAATTTCCAAATAAATGAATAAATTCAAACTTTTCTTTAAAACTCCTGAGAGGAACTTTTACGTTGTTGATTTCTTTTGCTCCATGTGTAAAAAGCAGTCTTAGCTAGTTTTGTCCTGTACACCTTTAAGAAAAAGCCCCATCTCTTTCATGAATACCTACACACTTAACTATATTGATGATGATGATGATGTTTAGGATGGTTTTGATGCCTTGCCTCTGGTTGCTTCCTGTCATCACCCTTGTGTCCGAGTGGATTTTTTGATTGCACATACTGCCTCTGTTTGTTTGTCTTAATAAGTTAGGTTTAATGTTTTATTTTGTAGTTCTTGTCCCCACTGTGTCTTGTCTTACTTCCTCCCTTCGTCTGGTTTCCCTCCACGTTGATTGTGTCCAATCCAAGTGTCTGTGTGCTTTCTCTTCTGTGCTTTCAAACGTCCCTCGTGTTAAATACGATCGACCTCTGTCGTGTTTTTTTTTTGTTGTTTTTTTCTTGTGGCTCGTCTTTGTGATTGTTCCTGGTTGTTACGTTTGAGTTTTGTTGGACCTTTATGGATTATATGGACTCCTGAATAAGTGACCTTTGTTTTGCCTTTTATCAATTTGATTTAATTTAGTTCTGCTATCCCTTTGTTTAAAAAGGACTTATCATCCCCTTTTCCACCTTTTCAAACAGTCCCCTGTGGTCTAAATGAAACATCTGTGCTGTGCTTTGGTCAAAATATAACATGAATCAAGCACCAGAGGAGGTTTGTGACCCTGTATAAACCAGCTCTCTCAGAACGCTCCGTTTTGGTGTGTGTGTCTCTTTAAATGTAATGAGCCACCCTGAGTTTTCCCCGTAGACATCACTCCTCTGTAGAGAGAATAAAAATGTCAGACCTACGTAAAAGTTTTGATCTAGGCTGGGGGTGGAGTCCATTCGTGGAGATACCAGGGGAGGGGAGGGGATTTTTTCTTTTTTACCAGAATCCCACTGTGACATCACAAGGAGAGCACATTTGAAACGAAGCATTTTTCTCTGTGTTGTAAGACTTATGCAGACCACAAACAAAGGACTGGATGGGTTTATTTCACATTTTGTGGGTCAGTAGACTCTCAGGTTACCCAAATAAATGTTCAACAACACTGTAGAAGATGATTTTTCACAATATGTCCCCTTTAATTATTCAGAACTGTGACACAAGCTGCATTGATGCTACTGTAAGCCGGAGACGTGATGAAGAAGAAGAATACTCAGGATGAAAGAGATGCTATCTTTTATTTCTGCAGAACAATTTTGTGGCTTTCGTAATCTGACATAAAAAAAAAGTTCACATCCGCATCAGTGTTTTACTGACACACTGTGTTAGTCTTGGCTCTACACAGTTTTATGCCTCTGCCTCTCATAAACTTCAGTATCTCTGACCTAAATCATTTCCTGTTATCTCAGAAAACGGGTGAAGAATGTGATACGTCCAGCTATTCAACACTTTCTGTGTGAGAGTCTTCATGCATGTGTGCACGTGTGAGTCAGCCGGCCGTCACAGGGCTTGTCGGTCTCCATCGGGGCTCAACAGTGCGACAGCTTGGTGATCAGTCACGCTGCATCCTGTCAGATTCATCACAGCCACGCGCGGCCCCAAGGACCCGAGGTTCCACGAGATGGAGGGGGAAAAAAATGACAATGTGGAAGAAAGACATCTTTTAATAAAACTCAAACAGTCGTTCTGTGAGCTGTTTGAATGTGTTTCTTTCACTGCCTGCATTTCCTGTCTTGTATTTGGAGTCTCCAGTTGCTGAATTAGTCACAGCTCTTTTATAGCTCGCGATGATTAACCTGAAATCTGTCTCTTAATCTGGACGTCTGCGATGCTTTCATGGTTCGGGGAGTCCAAGCCACCGGTGCCAAATCCCCGCGTCTGGCTCGTGTGACACAGAGCCAAATGAGTATATTTGTAAGTGATACAGAACTCCTGGCTTTTCTCTCCAGCCTGTGCCAAATCGTCTTAATCGCACAAAAGTTCAGTCGGCGAGAGAACAGATTTTTGGGGTTTTTGTTACTTGGGATGAAACCACCCCCCCCCCCTCTGCTATCACGACTCTGACTTCAGCTAATTGGATTAATAAAGGGCGTGCTGATTAGTAATTTGCTCCCACTGGGTTGAGAGAAAAAGAGTGAGTTGCACTTAATGAGATGGAAAGAACAATTTGGAGTGTCGTCTTTCAAATTTGACTAGATAAAGACAGGAAGTGAGGCGGACATGAAAAAGCCTCGTTTGGCTAAAAATTGAAATGAGTAGAGAAGTAGGTCATTCTCAACAGACTTTAAAATGAACCTGCACTCAAATTTGACCTCTCTGAGCCGACTGGTCTTGTGGGGACGCGTGTGTATCACCAACTTGCTTGAATTCCCACCCACAGTTTTTTTTGTTTGAGCCTCCCCTAATACCTGATATAATGCCTCCTCAGAATAATCAATTGGTTCGTACAGAAAGAAAGGGGCGTGCACCACGAAGAGGAGAGTCCTCCAGAAGGTGTGAGTGTGTGTGTGAAGTGTGTGTGGAGTGACACTGTTAGTCACTGAGTGGGAGCGTCTTGTGTAACTTGTTGACCTACATATTATGCCTCCCTCTGTGCCCGTTTCATTAACCCACTTTCAGATCGCACACCTGGCTCTTGAATCAGATAATATACTGTCGGTCACGTGTGGAGCCAGTTCGTTTTACCTTTGTTTTCAAGCCCAGGTCAGGCTGTTCATCACAAGTCTGGTTTCCCCCCAACATTTCTGCCTCTTAATGGGAAGTTTCTCCTTGCCGATGTTTATGACTTTTGCTAAATGTCGCTCAGTGCTCATGTTGGATTAAAGGGATGCTTCACCCATATGCATTAAGCTTTGTTTCATTAGAAACTGGTAGTGTTTTTTAATGGTCGTGCATCCCGCCCTCCTTTTTCCCCTGAGACGGGAAAGCAAAGAATCGTTTTCAAACTCCTCCTGCACACCTTCAAGGCCATCCACAACCTCTCCCCTCCATATCTGTCTGAACTCTTTTACATCGCCACTCCAGCCCGCTCCATCAGATCCACCTCGCCACTCCAGCCCGCTCCATCAGATCCACCTCGCCACTCCAGCCCGCTCCATCAGATCCACCTCGCCGTGCCCTCTGCCCGCCTCAGCTCTGGAACTCTCTGCCACCTTGACCCTCACCCCATCTTCAAATCCAGACTCAATGATCCATCTATTCAAGATCATTTTAACTGTAATTACACTGTCCTACATTTCACTGAAGCTACAGACCAATCACAGATCAGTGGGTGGGACCTCACTCCCAGAATCTAAACTCAACATCCACCATCTGGCTTGGTAGCTATGCTAACAGGCTCCGTGGAGAAAGCTGAGAAGAAGCAACAATGAAGGAAAGTATGTTTCAACTTCAAACTGATATGGATGAAGGGATGTTGAAGGGGATGTTGAAGATCTTGAGCTCGAATCGGATGTTAGTGGCTATATGAGCCGCAATATAGGGACGAGCAGTTGAGGCTAATGAAGGAACAGTGTGCAACATAACTGCTGTGCATTCTGGGAGTTGTTGTCTTTTATCCACATGAGCCAAAAAAGACACTTCCTGACTTTTCTAGGCCAAGAAGGCACCAACTTCAAAATGTATTTTACATTTCTACTACATACTATATGACCCAATGTCAATACAGATTCATGTTTCAACCGGTGAAGTATCCCTTTAACGTTGGGTCTTTGTGAAATAACAATGAGTCTTTTACCTGCTAAGAGTCTGGAGATAACATTTGTTATGAATTGGTGCAATACAAATACAGATTGGTAGATTGCTAAACAATGCTAACAATAGCCTACTGGTTTAGATCATACTGGTTAACCCCTTGCACGCCGTCAACGGTCCTCACTGCAGCAAACCTGGCTTCAACACCGTCCTTCAGCGCTTCACTGCACATCATCCGTACTCTCTGCTCTCAGTGTTTCCTGTTTCTATTTGTGTTACACATGTTTTAAAGAGGAAAAAAGGTGTTCTTGCTAAAGTTACAACCATAGACTAACTCCCAAATTTCCACCGCCATTCGCTGCCACCCTCGTCAATGATTGTGTCTACTGGAGCGTGGGCCCAGCCTCCGAGATTTCTGAGAGTTGGCTGCTCACTGCTTTGTCACATGATAAGAAAAATGAAGATACTGAAGAGCTTTTGTGGTGAGGCAGCATTGGAAAATGAATTGCAAAATAGATACCTGAGTCAGCACTTTGTGTCCAAGACGGGTTTTCTGTAAAATCATGAAAGCGGAAGACGAGTCAAAGTAACACAAACTGTTATCAGTCGCCCAAACATTTCACGTCTCAAGGTCATGATAAGTGAATACAGAGCGTTTGCGTTTCTGAAGCTCTGACCCAGAAATTAAAAAAAAACTCTTATCAGGCTTTGTTTTCCACAGAGACATAACAGTTGTATTATTCATTCATTATTATTTCTTATGCAGCCTGTTACGGAGGCTTGATGGTGGAGGAGCTCAGGGACTTGATATTAAGGCTGTGATCATGTTAATGGTTTATAATTGCTGGTAAATTGCGCCCGAGTGTCATTTAGTGGACTCGCTAATGGAGACGTATCTGGGGCACGGTTTCATCACAGAGGCTATTTACAGAGTTCAGTCATCAGTCAATGGTAATACTGAATCATAGACTTTAAAGGAGGTCGGTGTCTGTAATAGTTTCTTAGTAAACTTACAAAATGTTGAATTTTATGACAATGTTTACATTAAAAAATCTCAATTAAATGAAAAATCGACTGTTAGATATTTTTTGTTGAATACTTAGATTACCTCAAATATTTCCAACAGTTATCAAAGCCAGATGAATCTTTCATTTTATATCTGTAACGGGACGTGTCTTTTCTTGGCGGCTCGCCATGACAGAGTTGCCATATCATTGCCGTGGAAACGATGGACATTACTTCGAAGGCCGCTGAATCAGGAAGCATGAGCTGCTACTGAAAGCTGCCGTACTGTTGCTGTTTGTGCTGCTGTGATAAAAACATCATGCAAATTGCAGTCGCATATTTGGCAAGAAATGTCGTCAATTTCTTCAATTAAAATTCATCCACAGGTCTGTGAGGATTTTCTCACTCTAAAGTAGCGCTCTGCCGGCTTTGGTGATGCACTTGCCTGCTGTCATCAGGCTGATTAGCTGCACCTGTATGCTAAACTCTTTAGTGGATGCTCAAACTCAAACTGTCTGTTGAGCAGAGAGTAAGGGTGCATTCAATTTGGTGTTGTGGTGGTATGAATGCTCAAATGAACTCTGGTTGACTTGAAAACAGGGTCTCTCGGTTAACTTCCAAGTGCACCAGAGTTTGGTTCACTGTAGGTGAGAAAGCGATCTGTCTTTGTACTGTTACTGTAAAAGCAGATGCTACATTTCCTGTTTTGGTCGAGACATGTTCTGTGAAGTCCCCCGTTGGTTTCAGAAGCGTAGTCCAACGATGGCAAACTCCATATTGAAAAGGCAACTTTCAGTCAACCTGGAAACAAGCGACAAGCTGGCGCTGATACATGTTCGGTCTGTATTTGTCGGCCTACTGCAGCGGACCTGATCGGTTTTTACTTTATTCAATCTGTCCAGAGTCCTCTGCAGCAGATACACATGACTTCTATTTTTGCCCGATGCTGGAGCATCAATTTACCACAGAGCAGATCGAGCGGGACAGAAAGTCAGAGACTGAAACATCCTGTTTATTTTCAGAATAAAACACTCTGTCTTGAAGTTTCAGAACAAAGACTGTGTGTGTTTCTTGATGTTTGTGTAAAGGGTTTTATTCCACATACATCATATAATCTTGCGCTGTAATTACCGCCGGGACTCCTCGGTCTTTGGACTCCAGATGTCGGCGGTGCTGCCCGCTGCTGGAACTGAAGGATTTCATCACCTCAGTATTGGCTTCATCTTCAACACCGGAGGATGCTGCTTGGTTGAGACTGAGATATCTCAACAACTGTTGGATGTTTTTCCATCAATGCACCCTGAATATAAAATATGTAAAGATGAAATATACAGAACAGAAACATAGTCTCCCCATATTCCTCCAAACCCATCCTGTAACATTTCATCTTTCCAGTACTCTCTGCCCTGCGCTGATTCTTTTTGTCATGCAATATTGTTGGAGAGTCTGTACACGACAACCTAGATGAGTCAGACTTGAGCTTTAATAAATATTTTTTTTATGTTTTTTGGGGGGGGGTATTTAAGAAGCGATTCTCTTCTCGTTCTTTACGCATGAGGTTGTCAGATTTGCTCATGCCGCTCAGTGAAAGTTGGAACACTGCAGACGACAGCTTCCAACGAAAAGCACACCGTCTTGTTGCCCGCAGCGGGGCTTTTTGTTTCATGCTCACTGCTTTGATTCAGAGTTTTTACCTTCTCTCCGACTGTCTCACTGTCCTTCATTTAGCCTCCTCGCCCTCGCTGTGCCGGAGACCCAGCCTCAGCGGGGGAACTCACAAACACGGATCTGCTTGTCAGAGATAGTTAGGCAAGCTCATAACGAGTCAAAAATAATAAAAATGTTTGATTTTTAAAAGTAATAAATTAGCACTGAGATTAGCTCCTTTTAATCTGCATAAACAAGAGGCTCTCTCACCGTCTCTCACGCTTCCTCTTCTTAATAAATGACTGATCGATGTCACAGCTGTGCATGAGCTCACACACGTGAATGTGTGGATGTATGTGCTGCAGGAAAGTCCTCCTCCAAAGCCGGTCTGTGGTGCGGTGAGAGTCTGAGTTCACCGGGTCGCTGATCGACTGAGATCTAGCTATGTGTGTGTGTGTGTGTGTGTGTGCGTGTGCGTGTGTGTGTGTGTGTGCATGTGGAGTGAAGAAATCATTAACCAGGTACATGGTGTATGTCTCCTAATGGGTACAATGTTCCAATTTTGAGCTCGGTCCTTACAAGAATAATTGATTCCACAAACTGGAATTCCCTTTAAGGCCTTTTAGGAAAGTCCACTCGGTTAATTATGATTCCTCTGTTGGACACTTAACGTCCGTCACCGGGGACTGTTTGTGCTCGTTAAGATGTGAAATTAGAAAAAGGGAAAAAAGTCAGACAATAAAAGACTACTTGAGCACAAAATACACAGATTTAAAGGCTTTATACGCAATTTTTTGATCCAGCAGATGTCGCCCTTGAGCAACATCTTTATTATGCTGGTATCTTCACACTGCATGTAAATTTACCTGAAATTAGCGTGATCTAGAAACACAGTTAAGCAGTGAGTACAGTATGTTATTCTTCTTTTCTCTAGTCCCTCAATTAAACAACTTTTATACTCGAGGGGAGGAGTCAGCCGGCCGTCCTGGCGATGTAAACAAAGTGAAGATAGGACTCTGAAAACTCTGAAAACATCACAGACAGTGGGACTCGGGTGTTACACCCATTGTAGACAGTCATGACTCAGAGTTATTTTCAGAGGAGATACTTGATTTATATTATATTTCAGTGTGAAAAATCACATCGAAAGACTTTAAGTCAACGATGAAACGTCCCTCAGGTCGGTTCAGTTCACAGCAGAACAGATTCTTGTCTGAGCATTTTTAGAAAGTTCAGCGACTCGGGTCCAAACTGCAACATAGTCAGGATGATTTTGGGCCCGATTCCCCTCCAACAAAAGTCAGCAAAGGTCGGATTATCTGATACTTCCATAGATGATCTTTTCAGATGTTCCCGTGGTGTGAGGTGTGTTAAGAGTGATTTTAACCCTTTCAGATCTGCTCAGAAGACGATGATTTGATAAACGTGTTCAATATTTACAATCATAAATCCTGTTGTGTGGGGAGAACAGCGAGGACGGCCGAGCACGGACTCTGTGGATTGTCCTGTGGAACGGAACGACAGCCAATTGAGAAGCCAGCTGACTGAAGCAGGAAGCACAACAAACATTACCATGGCGACGACAGCAAACACAAAGCATAAAGTTAGATGGATTTAACGAGTGTTCATACAACGTGTCCTGTAAAACAAATCACAATCCAACTGACCAGGAAATGGATGTACCAGCTAACAGCTAGCCACAGTTAGCTTGACCGTCATGTTTGTTTACACTTAAGACGCGTTCTGATAGTGGAGACTCTGGTTGTTGTTGAATGAATCTGTTAGTTTGTGCTGTGCTGAGTTGGTCGTCATGTGTTGGTTCTCTCGCATGTTCAAAATCGTTTTAGGATTTCTTAAAATCCTTCAATCTGTGCCAGGCGGTGGTGTTTGTTACCTTTCCTCTCACTGCTTCCTGTAATCTGCTAATCCGCTGCAGGAGAATGTTTGTCAACAGAGCTGTCAATCATGGCAATTAATTTATTTATTATCGCATCAAACCCGACGAATGCAGGTTTGAGAAAAGTTTATTTGAAATCTGCAGAAACATTTGCAGAAAAGGTGTCACGACTGAAAATGAAAAGTCATCAGTCTAGCTTGTCTTGTTATCCCGCAGATGTCTTTTTCTTCACACTGTGAGCGTCTCTGTGTGTGTGTGTGTGTGTGTGTGTGTGTGTGTGTGTGTGTGTGTGTGTGTGTGTGAGCATGCTGCACCCGAACAGTAAACGAGTGCTGTTTTCATCCCGTATTAGTCCCCTCACATGGCACAGTGTTGCTGACAGGTAAGCTGTCACAGTGAGCGGAGGGGGAAACAGCCTGCTGGGCATTCATGTGCTAACAAGTCACAACTGGTTGTGTAACACTGTCAGCCATCTGAAGTCTAAACTGCAGAGTGTGTCTGCCTCTCGTTTACAGCCACATGCAGCCTGAGGTCAGAGACAGACGAGAGGAGAGAGGAACATGTGTGAACCCTAACCAGATCAGAGGGCGTTAGACCTTTCATTGCATTTAGTTCTTAATTACGTTTTTTAATGTGATAACTGGACAAATTTCAGACTGAAGAAGACTGAAGAAATTGACTTCAGTCCCTTCTTTGAGTTGTGTAGCTGATGGTTTGCAGAGCTGGGTATTATCCACAACATCACAATTCGATTCGATATCGATTAGCTTCAGAAATCCCCAGATTACTCATCACAGCATCTTCTGATATGTCTTCAATAATTATGTGTGCATTGTTTGTACAGTATAGGTTAAGAACAAACCTACTAAAAAATGTACTTCATCATCCCATTATTCTTTAATAAACAAATAATAAAACATTACAGTACAGTTTGCAGAAGTACGGCGCGCCCCCCAGTGGAGAGGTCGTGTCATTACAGCTGAAATAATTGATTTCAGGATTTCCCTGAATTGATATTGAATTAGGGAAAAAATAATTGCAAAACACCACCCAAAGCTCATGACCACAGGTGAGGGTTGGGACGAGGATCGGCCGGTAAATGGAGATCTTTGCCTTCAGGCTCATCTCCCTCTTCACCTCAACGGTTTGGTGCAACGCATTAGTGCCGACGCTGAGCCAATCACACGGTCCATCTTACCCTCACTCGTGGACATACTTAAACTTCTTCACTTGGGGAAAAGTCTCACTCCCCGGAGCGATGACGGCCTAGCGGTTATGTAACGCGCCCCATGTAAAGAGGCTATCGTCCTCTTTGAAGGGTTGTGGGTTTGAATCTGACCTCTGACCTTTGCTGTGTGTCAACCCTTACGCTCTCCTCCCAACATTTAAAGAAAAAGACTCACTCCCTGTTTAAACAATATTTTTATGTGAACGATATAACTATAGCATCTCTGTTGTGTAAATGAGAACGCTTCAGTTTCACTCACATCGTCTTTGGCGTTCTCTACAGACTCGATGCCCCTTTGTTTGTCTTTTAGCTTTTTGTTTCCGTTTGTCTGTCCTGAAACCGTTTCTGTTCAGTGTCCCTGCTTCTGCTCTGAATCATGAGCCAAGAAGTTTGTGAACTCTGTAAGAAGTTTGAAACGCGTCAAACGACCTGTGACGTCTGAAACACAAACGAGATGTTAACCTTTCTGTCAGTGGGTCACTAACAATAATGACAATGCTGACTTTTACTCTCAGGGCAGACGCACTGTTACATTTCATTAGTCAAATGTGAAGATGGAAGTTTTTTGCCTGTCAGGTCAGTAGGATATAACGTCCATCAGCCCTTCAGAGTCTACGTGTGGTTTCTGTTTGAACTAAAGGGCCGTGAACTCAGACCAGGAGACTTTTGTAAAGAGCATCAGAAAGGACTTTGACAGTCTTCATTCCTGCGCAAAATAAAACATTTCACCTTTATGGGACTGTCGAAAACAAATTTCAAGCCTGTCCTCTGCAGGCTCGTGTAAAGAAATGAACGCCTGTCTTTAAATATCCCGTCTCTAATCTTGAATCTTTTCCCTGCAGCATAATGTTTACAGATACACAATTTGATTTTAACAGACTCAGCACGAGCTAATCAGATGGCTTTTTTTGGCCTCATGTCAACACAGCATAAGGATAAGCTGCTCGTCTCTTAGTGTGCAGAAGACCTGCACCCTTATCTTATCCTGTATGCTTATCTTATGAATGCTGATGAGATCAGAGTGCTGACTGCATACATCTGTGGGCTGAATACTCCAACATGAGCTTTGTCGAATAGCAGACTTGTCCTGTGTCAAATAAATAAATATGCATCATCATTCTTTTATTCTTAAAGGAGCAATATGTAACTCTGACACCTAGTGTTTAAAACGGGTACTGCAGTCCAAATTCTAAACACTGTAGCGAGCTGTCTCCCTCCTCTCTAGAGACGATGCTCACTCAGGTCACCATGTGGTGGACTCTGAAGCTTCAGTGTTTATCCAGCTCTGCATGGGTCTGTAAACCTTTCTGTGTTCTAACCTCTCTCCATTTTTCAAAAGCATCTCCAATATTGATCCTAGTTTGAGCACGTTTCTGCTCGTGGAGCTTATTAGAAACATGCAGAGGCTTTTTAGGTCGGGTACAATCACTTCTATCTGAACCACTTCTCTTGCCCGCTTCCATCACTGCAACACCTGTTGACCTGATAACTGCTCTCATATCTGACAAACTGAGGGGCGTCCAAAACGGTTGTGTGGGGGGTGTCTTAAAACCGCCTACCTTCTCTGGTCCAAACAAATCCAGAGCATTCAGGAGCAGAATCTAAAGTTAGAAGGAGGACATACTGGCTGCTGCATTGTTGTCAGAGAAGCCAGCACTTCAACATAGCATGTTTCCTTAATGTCTGATCATATAGTAAGCTCACTTTTATCTTACAGACGGCTCCTTTAAAGTTTATTTTCTGCTCATGAAAAGCTTCTCATCTTGTTGAAAGTTAAATCCTAAAACACACAAACAGCACGTCTAGACTAACTGTCAACTCTCAGGAAATGGATTTGAGAAATTTAAGTTGAAGGAACATCTTTAATGGTGTATTAATTTAAAACGATTCGTTGACATGTGTTTACATAAAGGCAAAAAAATGCAGACAGCGGTCTCAGTCATCTGTCATTAAAGGTCTCAAGTGAAAGATCAGACGATTTTTTTATTATTATTATTATAACTGAAGCGAATGGCGGTTATTCCCACAATGTTTACCTGGTTTACCGCAACCGGCCTCCCATCCCCTGAGCATGATGTTGTCATTGACAACTAGCAGCCCTGCAGGGCCTCTTTACACCTCACTCATCGAAAGATTACAGCATCCTGAAAACCCCCACAGTCTGAACAGCAGGTGCGTTTTACTTTGGAGAGTGCTTAGAAGAAATAGCTGCTTCTCTTCTGTACACGGCGGTGTAGTAAAGCAGGTATATGATGTATTTACAGCATTGTAAGTTATTGCTTTTATTAGTTTT